TCGGTACGCTTCTCCCCTACAGAGCTGTCCCGGCAACTACCACGGCACCGTGAATGGGCTGAACTGTGTTCTGACACTTCACTGCACTAACAGTGAGTCATTGCTGGTGATGACATTAACTACAAATACGAGAACTTAGAAGTGGATGGAGTAAGAAAGTTCTGACAGTTCTTGAAGTCAAAACTCCACATGTAATTGGACTCTAAGTACTGGTGGTTCTGTCTCTGCAACATCTTTGTGATCCCTCTATTTTTTTTTTTTTAACCAAAATCATCGCATTTATATCATCTCTCTCCTGGCCTTCCTCTTCCATCATCTTCCTCTACATTTATCTCTCTCAAATTCACTTTCATCCTATGACCAGTAAGATTTCCAAAGTGAAAACCTAACAGCATTATCACCCTGTTTAAAACTCTTTAATAACCTAAGGGGATCACAATTAAATGTGTGCTTGTCTGTCTTCTTTTCTGCAAACCATGGACTCTCTAAAAGTGGGAACATAAATGTAAAATTCATCCTTGAATCCATAAAAGTGCTCAATAAAAATGTGATGAAAGACTGTTTTATGCCATCATCCACAAAGATGTGTGCTCATATCCTCCACTGGCCCCACTCCAAAAGACAAGGCCAGGGGCATGTCAAGTTGGCCTCCTACGCCCTGCTGAACTCTAGCATCGAAGTGGGTGTGATACCATGAGGACCGAGTGATGCAGGTTGCTGATGTACATGCACTCAGGCTGTGGCATGAGAACAGACTGAAAGATTTCTTCTTGCTCTTGGTAACAGTAAAGACAGCAGCAATCTGAAGCTCGCTGGTGATTTTTTTTTTTTACTCTCAGTGTGAATGGGAACTGTTCCTTCTTGAGAACATTTAATAGGCACACCATTTACTGGTTTACCAACTACAACCATGACTCTAATACTTGCTTGATATGTATCTGGCAACCTCTCAGGGCTCTGTGGAGCGTCACTGTAAGAGGGAGGGGCTTATTAAAAAAATACAATGTTCCTTCTACTACATCATTATTTCCTATTTGCTAGCAATGAGAACAGCGGGGTCTTCTTTTTTCCCCATATTAGTACTGTATTGGTTTGCATAGGTTTATTAAAAATGTTCAAAAGTATAAAGAGAACATTATTTTGAGGATCCTGATTCGTTTAGGGCATGGCATCTTACTCTTAGTGTAAATTTTTACCTTGACTGATAAGGAATGATGTAGTACCTTTTAATCTCTGGAGTGATAAAATATTAAATATGTGCTTTGCCTGCAAGCCATGCCCCCCCCACACACACAATAGCCATTACACATCAGTATTATATATGCTATCTATAAATATTACACACACACACAATGTTCCATAATTAGCACTTATGCTTGGCCTACAACTTTGAAAAGAACTATGACTTGCTGGATAAGTCTATGCTTCTCTCTCTTCTCATCCTCTCTAAACACTCTCTTCACTCTCCAAGGCCCAGCAAGACCTGTCTTTTCCACAAAGTTCTGACCATCTCTAGGCTCTTCTACAATTTAACTCAAATCTACTGACCTAAGTTTATTTCCGAAGTGAATAATTATAGATATAGTGTTCAGGTACAACATACTCTGGCCAAATGAATCCTATGCCTTCTACAAAGTAGTGCTCAAAAAACATCTATCAAACACTAAATGTGTAAAACCGAAGCACTCCTTGCTCAATACAGTACCTGTACGTAGTATAAACTCAGTAACTGAATGAACTGTTCTCTAATCACACCTCCTAACTCTACCTCCAAACTTCTGTTTGTGTTGTTCCTCAAGTACTCAGGTCGTTCTGTAGTCACCTCCTGCTCTTCTCAGCCTTTTTAAGTCTTTTTTTTTTCCTTTTTAAGTCTTAATCCAGTTATTCTAGCTCCTGCTGAAATAACACTGATCTCCTTCATGAAGTTCCCTCTAATTCACTACAGCAAGAGCTGACCCTCCTCACTTTGCTCCTCCCAGTTTCCGGCCACTGTTTTGATAGTTAATCAACACTGCCTCCCATGGTAATTCTTTGTGCAGATTCCTGATCTCCTAGCTCAAGATAAATTCCTTGAGGGAAGAAGCACTATATTCCTCACAGTCTTATGCTGAATCTTTGAAAACAGAAAGCTCTAAGAAAAAAAGAAAATTTGTACATTGAATGAACTATTCCAGTCCACCTTGATTTATTTTCTTTCAGAGCATCTTGACAATTTATATTCATTACACAATTGAGACCTTAAAGGTATACAGGTTCTCACTCATTTCTAGAAGTTCCTCACGTCTCAACCTGACTAAACTTCTTCAGGGCAGGGACTTGTATGCTCCTATGTTAGGCTGGTGAGGTCAAAGAGGATGCTTAGTTGTGGGCCGACTAAAATAGCAGAGATCTGACCTGATTTGTAATAGGCACTCCTTTGGAGAGTATTTAGAGCCATCAAATTTTTAGGCACATATCTCACTAATATCATCATCCCAGGAGCAGCAGGTCTGATGCAACCAGTTGACAGTTTAACCCTGTGAAGCCCTCTGAAAATAAGGCACCGCTGGTCATTCTCAGTTTTGGAGTAAGGAGTTCTCCCAGAGACTATGTCACTGGTCTTGAGGAGCAGGTGCAGGGACTAACATTAAGGATGAAAGACAAAGACAGAGCACCTATTACAACACTTGAGCTAACACAATGGTGCACTGTTTGCTGTTCCGTTTTCATTACATTTCCCGTAAGGCGATTAGATGTAATGAAAAATCCTCTCAGGGCCAGTATATTTCTAACTGCTCATCTGCCCAAGCAAGAAAAACCCTGCTCAAGGCTTCAAGTGCCAACTTTCCCCAGGCATGCAGATCTGTCATCCTTTACCAGCTCCTGGGAGACTCGACTCTAGGTAACACTTTCCAGATCCCTTACTCAGCAGCGTCACATCTTTCCCTGACCAAACTGAATTCAAATGAATGGGTGGTACAACTACAGGAGTGTTTTGTTTGTTTGCTTTTATAAACCCTTACACTATATATATTTTAGTCTGCCTTATACAATGGGAGAGAACAGAAAAAAATTGGCTGCAGTCCAGACCTGGCAGAAAAAGAACCTCATGGCCCTGAATGTCATCTGAGATTCAAGCTACGTTATGTCAAGTGATCACTTTGGCAGGACTCACCAGATAAATGGCCAGAACTGGTAAACACGCTAACATGCATACATGATCATGTTCAAACATGTTCATCTACACCTTCTTATGGAAACATCATGCTCATCCTTAATAATCCCAGGCCATTTTATGGTAGAACTCTGGAGCAGCCGCATATTCCAAAAGAATTTTGGTTTGCCCACTAACTTAAAAAAAAGGAGGAGAAGGAAATTTTTTCTTTTGCTAATTACGTGTGTAAGTACTGGTAGGCTACATGATTTGTTTACTGTAAGCCACTGCATTTTCTTATCTCTACTACCCCAAACAGACCAAGCAAACAAAAAAATGATCAAAATGCAAACATAAAACCAGCTAATGGTGTTGTTCTCTCCACTCTCCTTACGAAGTTAAAGGTTTATGTCAAAGCTAAAATGTCAAAACAGCTGAAATAGATGCTCTCTGCAGACTCTCTAGGTCTAAATGTAACTTGAGCTCTCGTCTTTCGGCTGGAGATACGTTTTTAATTTTCTTTAAAGATTTCCTTTGCCATACTTTTCATTTCACAGGTTTTTTAAATTCCTCAAGCCTTGCCCAGTGGAGTGAAAGCCACCTTAATGAAGAAAGTAGAGATTAAACCACCATAACTTTCGAACAGCCGAGGATCTCAGCTGTAATTCTTTGGCTCAGAACCAGGATCTAAAACCAGCCATGGGAAAAGCTGCTGAAACGGAGCCTGCAATTCTCTCCATGTTTGACTTGCATAATGTTGACGCTGTAACACCAGAGAGACCCAAAAATATTTCAAACAATTATGACTTCTTTTCTATAAATATTTTTTAAATTGCTTTAAAAGATAAAATAACATATTTTAAGCTTCTCACTCTCTCTCTCTTTTTTTTACTCTGGTTGCCCTCAGCAGCTCACTACTATGGATTTATTTTTGGCTCAAAGGTCAGGGAGGACATCTTAAGGCACTACCTCTGATGTTAAACTGTGTTTTCCAACATGAGTTGTCCAGTGAGTAGGGGAATCAGCAACTCTTAAAGCAACAACTGAATGCAGTGTCACAGCACAGGAGAAATACATTGTTTATTTCTTATGCTGGTGAAAATAACAAAACAAAAAAAAAGTACTCAAGACAATAACAATATAAAAAAAATCTCCCACCCCTTTATAAGCACAGTTTGCTTTCTGGACAGAAAAAGCCTTCTTTCTCACTCCCTTTCATTACTCTTTCTTGTTCCAGTTATTTCTGCCACAAGACATACATTTGAATGTACTGAGACTTCTCCATGGTGAAGAGGGCATAAAAATGGAAGGAGAATTATAGAGATGGCCAAGGAACTCATGAGCTCTGAGTACATTATTCAACTATTTTCAGTTGTGTCTTCCTTCGAACCTAAGCAAACGGCAATTGCCCAAAGCATGAGAGGTGAAATTTATTTGAAACCTGCAATTTCTGCTCTCAGAGAGTATGATTCAGAGACCTTAATTCTGAGCTCTGGAAATCGGGGATGATATCCATAGTCACGGATGAGCAGAGTGATCAGTAGGTTAATAACTAACCTTCCAGTGCAATTTCAGTCCCTCTCCTAGGACCAAGAGACCTGGCTTGCCTTCAGTATAAATGCCCTCAGCATGATTTGCAGCATTTATTTTTGATATGCAAACATCAGATGCCAAAACTGTATTCCTCCTCAAACATCCACAGAAAACTCCTCCTGGCTTATGATTTTAAAGCTAAGATAAGTTTCCCATTTGCAGCTACTTAAAACTTACCTCTTTTAATTAAATCATCCAAAGAACTTACATTTAACAAATAAAGTTCAGTGTTATTTCAAAATACTGGGGGTGGGAATGCGAAAGCAGAACTCACCTTCACTCCCAGAAAAAGCACTGCCTGAGCCTGCCACTGCCAAGGTCAACAGCAGCTGCCAGAGATCCATACCTGTAGGACCTGCAATCACATACAAAAGAGAATAAGATAAAGTCAATTGAAAGCAGACCATCACTGCATACCATTTAAAAATTGGCTAACCCATCAATGAGTTGACATGCGTGTCAGTTCTTAAAGAAGTCCTAGTAAGTTTTTCATCCCCCCAGAGTCTCAGATTGTTGTACTTTTCATGAAGGCAAACGGTAGGTTTGTAATAAATTCTACTTCTCATGGGTGCTTGCCTCAGGAAATAACACAGACACTAGAGATTTTCACACCCTGGACAATAGCCCTAGAAGCACCTCAGCACAAAGGACCCCCACACACTGCTTCAATACTAGGGCCGGTGTGGTTTCACTTTAACTAGATCTGGAAATAGAAAAACTTGTCAGCAGTATCACCATGCATAGGGCCTTGAGCTGGACAGGCCATAAAAGGAAAAACACAACAACCCACTTGTAATAGTAAAACTTCTCCAGTGTGTTTCCAGTGAATAGAAGAACTCAATTAATACTCAGAAGACTGTGCTAATGAGCTATCATGAGGAGGTTTAGCTAGAAGACAGCAGGAAGGAGACAGTGAGACACAAAAGACAGCAAAACATCTGTGCTCTCTAGGTGGCCTCCCTAGGATACCTGGTGTCCTGGGTTTTCTGTTTTAGGTGGAATGTGGTCTCTGATAGGCCCAGGAACATGAACAGCCCAGACTCAAAGAAAGGTCAGTTCACAGCCTTGCAAGCTATTTGGGATCCCAAGTGTGGCCACACCTAGACCCCTTCAGTTTGATGAATAGGGGAGCAGATCATGCCTCAGCCAGCACACACCTTTACCTGGAGGAAAGAAGCTTCTTTGGAATCAATAAACCAGGTGTACACTTCTAGGATCTCTGAAGAGACAAGTTTAGGCTGGCTTAATATGAACTCCGCACACTATCCTTTGGAGAGCTGACAACTAATGGTAACTCCTTTAAAGCTTCGCTGTAATATTTCCATAAAACTATATTACTTCTGCATCACTCAGGCACAGCTCCACCAGGGCCTCCCTCTGGCCTCATTTTCACTATTGTACGTTCTTGACAATAATGAAATAGCCCTTCTTGTTACACCTAATCAGGCTGAAATGATGAACAAGAACGTTCATTCTCACAGGTAACGGAATGAATGGTGCGGTCCCTGGTAGTGGCCGTGACATTCTGACTAGGTATAAAATGTGATGTTTCATACTTTCACTTCTAGATAGTGGAGGGCCCATCATGTCTTTCTTCAGTCCATATGATTTTCTGTTTTTAAAAAAGTCTCAGCATACACATCTCCACGTAAACTGAGTATCTTCCTGTGTCTGAATACCCACGTATACGTCGAATGCATAAAGAACCCCCTCAAACACTGCCTCCTGGAGTCACTGACAGAGTGGAGTGTGATACCGCACATAAACACACTTGGCCAATGACGAGAGTTCACACAAATGTGAGTTGCAGTTACTGTAACATCCACGTTTTAAAGTCCTAACCGGGAAGGCTCCAGGCTAATGGCCTTGCATCATCCTCATCTACTTTGCAAATGTGAACCAGTGAGCATCTCTCCTTAGATCCTTTACTAACAGGTGAATAGGCTATGTAATCTGAGCTTGGGGCCTCCAGCAGAAATACGTGAGAAGGCTAAAAATAAATATCTTAAAGGCTGAAAATGCCATCCCATTGTTAACTGGATATTTCCTTTTAAATTTTATTTTTAAAGTAGGAAAAGCAATGAGGAACTGGGCTCTATATATAGTGTTAGTTTTACCAGCAATCCCCCAAGGCACTTAGTGTCAGGTAAAGAAATCTCCCTTGATACTTGCTTTCTGGATATCAAGGTGTAACAGAATTCTAATTTCCTAGGCAGGGTTTTTTCATCCCACCTGAATAGAAGGATAGAGGTTAGCATTTCTCAGAAGGCTGTTTTCTCTGGTTTGGAAGTTGCCTCTTCAAATATTTCAAAGATATTGGGCATATGCCAGAAACAAGTGAATTTTGCTTCAGATGAATATAGTAGTTGACTCCCTCCCATCCTCGAGCTTTTGAAAGTTGCTACCTGCAAATGAACTTTGTCTCTTCCAAATTAGCACAACATATCTCCATAGGACGCGTTCTCTTTCATAAAATGAAACAACAAATCAGAATCCCAAAGCAAAATCAACCAGAATCAATCTGTTTGTACACTCCTACAGCAGAAAAGGAGGTATTTAAAACTGTCATTCTCCCAGATAGGAGACAAGAACCCTTCACTGCACTGAGAACATTGCCCAGGGCCCCAACTCTAGCTCCAGGTAGGGGGCAGAGAGGAGGATGCAGAGGTGTAGCTGGATGCAGGAAGAGCTAACCACTGCATTCAAGACTAAGGCTCTCCTTCCACTGTTGCTGGCTTTGTGGGGCTGACTGTGAAAGCAGTCCCCTAGTGAACTGTCCCCAGGGCCAGTACACAGCTGGGCGGATGGACATTCTGTTCGATTTGCCTGGAAGCCACCCCCTTCAGTTTTGCAGAACTCCATATGGCAGCTTCTAGATAAGAGGATCCTTCTTCGTTAGGTTCAGCTGGGAGAAAGCATCCCTAGAGAGGACAAAGTGCCAATGCACAAAGTGTGAAACTTTAATGCAGTCTGTCAGTGATGTGCCAGATGTGAGCAGGAGAGAGTCCTATTATTCCCTTTCCCCAATATAAGTCTCTATGTAGATGCAGGTACTGTCCAGTGGAATCTACCAAATGTACCTTAGCCTACTGGGTTTTTAAGTTTGCAATATTTTTCTAGGGAAAATACCTCTCTAAATTTCTACGGGTATTTATGCATTCTTTGGCTATAGCCTCATGGCAAGATTTTCCTTTAGGGTGGGGCAGTGGTTGGGTGGGGGAGACAAGCTTCTATTCTTGCTTAATGGAACTCACACCATTTCCACTTTCAAAGCCTAAGGCACTTTGCCTGCCCTCCTCCCATCTCCTCACAGCCGCCCCCCCCCCCCAACTTCCTCAAGGGAGAGCCAGCTGAAAAGCAGTATAATCCATTTGGTGTCAGTTTTAGTTCTATAAACTGCCCAGCAGAGGAGACTCTAAATTACAGTTAGGCCTGGGATATACAGACTTTTATTCCTTGGCTATAAAACAGTACATAAACACATAAGAGATGGAGATTAAACATAATATTTTTTCCAACATGTTATAACCAATTTCAGGCCAAGAAAGGAATTAGTTCAATTCTCTTTATTTTAAAATTACCATGGATGTATTGAACTCCTAGAATTGTGCAGAGCACAATGGAGAATACGAAAGCAATCAAAGTCATGGTTCTTTACCTCAAGATTTAGGCAGGATAGGCAAATGATATTGGGGGAAAAAGGAAGCATACCTAAAAATGAAAGAAAGACCAGAGTGGGGAAAAAATCAGTCACTGAGGGGCTTAAAATTAGAACAAATGACAGAAGATTGTGATAGGTAAGGAATAGTGAGGGGGGTGAACTTGCATTATGGGTAAAAGCTCAGATTGTACAAATGTCCTGGGTATGGCTCTGGGTCTGATTAGTGGAGGACAGTAGGAGGTGAGATAGAGAACAAAGTTCAAAATTATGAATAAAAGGGAATAAAACTGAATAGATAAGGGAGGACTAGACCGAAACAACAGTTCAACTCATATGTTTTTAAAAAGATTGATTGATTGATTGATTGATTGATTGATTTAGCATGAGCAGGGTGGGGGGGGGAATGGTGGAGTAAGAAGGAGAGAAATCCCCAAGCAGACTCCCCACTGAGTGAAGAGCCAGCGGAGGGGATGGGGGCTCTCTTCCACGAGCCTGAGATCATGACCTGTGCCAAAATCAAGAGTCAGATGCTCAACCCACTGCACCACCCCAATACCTCAGCAGTTCAATTCATATTAATCAGAAAGTCACTGGAAGATTTGGGATTGGTAAGCATGTGCAAGTGGATTTTTCTTAGGATAAATCTGCCCCTCATACTTTCTTAACTTGGCATCACTGAGAAATACTAACAAGATTTGGTGGTGACTGGGTACAGGAGATGATAAAGAAAACATATCTATCACAAATGAATGAGTATATAGTATATGTGTGGATGAAAGATAGTGCTATTGATAGAAATCAGGATTTGGGGATCTGAGTTTGTTCAGGAATGAGAAGATCACATGACTGACTGTCTTAGGATATTTGGTATTAAAGTGATATAATAGCGATTCAAACACTTGTAGAAGTGTAAGAAATGTCTGGTGGGAAGTTGAAGGTAGGAGACCAAGGAGACAGAGAGAGAGAGAGAGAAGAGAGAGGAGAAGAGAGAGAGAGAGAGAGAGAGAGGTCATTATTAGATTTCAGAGATATTTACATAGAGATGATGAGTACCAGATGAATTTAACGTGAAGACTAGGCTATTTCATGAAGAACCCCCACATCAACCTTATTAGAAGTAATATTATAAAGCATATTAAGCCATATAGGGGAAAATGTGCTCCTATCTGGTTTGTAATTTGGCAGAGACAAAAGGAACAACCACTCAAAGCTACCTAGACCCTCTGATTTGTATCAAGTATTTAAAAGGAAAGCGGTCAAGGGCATCCCTAGAAGAATGGTGTCAGCATATTAGCATATAGTTAGAATTATATGATAGATGTAGGAACTTGTAGTCCTGTTAAGGCAAAATACCAACATGGTAGCTGAATTGATAGAAATAATATTTCCCCAATTTTTTGTTTTATTGGATCTAGCTATCTTGATACCAAAAAAGTAAGAACTGATTTAAAAAATACACACAGAACCAGAATTGTTTATATTGCAAAACCAAGACTCTAGTTAGATAACCTAATAAATGTGTACTTTCTGATGCAGGTGATCATTAGTAATGAATTATTGCAAAACTGAATCTAGTTGATTTCCTGGTGAAGCTGTTCTAAAAACTCAACATCAAAAATGGTTAATCCAAAAGGGTATTTGAAATGATCCACTCTAGTTAGTACCAGGAATTTATTTGACTAATTTGCATTTGT